TTCAATGTTTCTGGCTGACATTGATTCAATGTTGTTTCAATCATTCTGTGCTATCTGGGTAGTAACTTAGAAAAAGATAACAGCTGTGAAAAAAACTAAATAAACAACAGATTTCACTAGCTGGAAATACTGGAGATAGTGGTAATAGCTCCTCTTTAGCAGATGAAGCTTAAATTAGCATTCATTCATTTTAAAATTGCAGTGCCTCATGTTACATGAGGTACTAAATAAAGATTGTTGGGATACATTAAAGTGTCCCAAAGAGTTATTTTAACGATCCCTTAAAGCTGATGTCTTTAAAGCAAGAATGATTAATTCTTAATGAAATGATAAATCATACCAATGGAAATTAATGTAATTCAGAGTTGCAAATGGTAATTTACAGTTGAATTAGACTGAGAATATCTCAAATTGTCCAGGTCACGCTGCACTAGAGCAAGCCCCAAATTATCACTCTTCCACCACCATGCTTGGCAGATGTCACACATTTGTGCTGAGATAATGCGATGCATTTAGGCTAAACTTAGCACACCGTGTTGGGGCCAAACGTCTCTCTAATTTGGTGTCGTCCATCTAAAGAACTGGTGCAGAAGCAAATGGAAACCCTAAACTGTGTGGCTGGTTGTTTTCTTCTGTAAAACCACTCAAACATCTGTACAGTTTTGGATTTCACGTCCAATCTGTAGCAGGGAGACTCCGACACGTGGCTCTTTTGTAACGTCTATTTGCGTTCCGCTGTTCGATCTCTGGATGAACTCGCGTGGATATCCACCTCTGGAAAGACTGGCAGCTGCCTTGAATGTTTTTCACTTGGGAGAGATATTTTTCATTGTAGAATGACAGACTCTACATTATTTTCCAAATTGCGTTAAAATCTTTCCGAGTGTGAAGGGCAGCCAGAGTTGCTCCAGTAAGACTGCGCCTAGATTGCCTCTACGATTGCGCTGCACGTGGTGGGAGGATGTCGGAGTGACTCTGTGACGTTAGATTTGATTTGTTCTCTTCGTAAACTTTTGTTCGGAAATTTTTCTGTCCCGAGGCATTGTGTTTTTTTTTTTTTGTTGTTTTTTTTTTAACGGCTATTCCCTCCGGATTTGGCTCATGTTGCTACAATAATTTTTGCTTTGTTTTTTTTTTTTTTTTATCTTAGGGAAAGTTGGTATAATGAATAACCGTAGCAACCAGGTATTGTTTTCACAACTGGGAGCAGCTGATTAGCATCTCAAAAGCTCAAGTAATACGACCCCAATACCAGATAAGTTGAAAATGATACATCATGGATGCAGAGCAGTACCGAAGAGCAGAAATAAGGTGGAAGTTCAAGTGATCTCTTCCATCAATCATGTGCTACCCACTGAGCCACCTAGTGCCCAAGTTACAACATTTAATTTCCCTTTGGGAAAATAAAGTATTTTGGAATTTAAATGAAGTCAGTTAATTTAAAGTATTTGATCAGAAGCATACGGTTGTCCTTTTTATTTCCATAATGACGACATTATTTTTGTGATCCAGGCTTCTTGTTTACTTCAGATCTTTAATACAACACCTACAAAAACATTACATATTACTTATTGAGTCCGCAGCTGAACTCTTTCTTCTGCGTCCAAATAAACAATGATTGATTTTGGCTTTCGAAAGTTGATACAAAGAATTATACTAACCCCATCCCTACTTCCAACATGATGGCAAATTTTGTGACTATCTTTCAGAAACTCTAGATGCACTGACGTATATAATCTGTTGTTGTTTCTAATATCAGGAGGAAGGTCAGTTAGATAGGAAATCTTTTGAAATGTGTGCACACAAAACAATGCTGCTCTATCCAGGTCAAACTCAGAACACCGTCCCACTGAGCTGTGTGTTCAGAAAAGCCAATAAGCACAGCATGTGAGGTGAACACTAAATAGCTTTAAGTCCATGAAGTCCTCGGAGTTTTAGGATTGTTCTGACACTGTAACTTGAAACTGCAGCTTTTTAGCTTTAAAAAAAACAAAACATGTCCCAATGTGTACAGAGTAACAACTACCCAATCTACGGTTATCTGAGTTTTGTCATAGCTTTGCAACATAATTATTGTGTGGCACTGGCTTCTTCTTTTAGCTCATCTTAGGTTATTGTAGCTATTTATAGAAATAAGAGGGGAAATTATAAGCTGTCTTTCCTGTGCTGAGCTGCACCTCTAAGAGAGGCGACGGGTACTGATCTCAACAATATGTTAATTTCTGTTAGCATGCAGGAATTAAACATTTCTCCACAATCCAAGTGTCTACTTGTTGTACCTGAAGAATCTGTTTTGGAGCCGATATGAAGAGCGCAGGTGGTGTTGCATAGCTCCGCCTCTTTTTGGGAGAGACCTCGAGAATGATGGCAGTCCACACTCTTACTAAGAGGAAGAGAGAAAAAAAAAAACTTTGAAAACAGACAAAACAAATTACCAAGTCGACGGTAAAACAGTTGGAAAAAAATGCTGCAGGAGTTTATTCTGTCCATTTAGGATATAAGTAGTAATTGACTAAGTACCAGGAGGATTTTGGGTTGACTTGGCAGGTAGGACATCTCTCACAGAAGTCTCCAGATCGTTTGGGATCGGTACACACACACTTGCCACACACACACTTTCCACAGCCGCTGCAAAGCAAGCCGTCTGCGGATTGACAGCTGGTTTCGGAGGTGGGACAGCTGCAACTGTCGCCCGTCCAGCCGACCTCGCACACACACTCGCCTGACACACACACGCCTCGGCCTGAAATTGAAAAGAGTCTCAATAAGAACTCGGGGGCATTAAAGGAGCAGTGCCTCATCTTGAAGTATTTGTGATTCAACTGGAAATGACGTGGAATGTTTTTCAACCTTACCTCCACACAGCTGTCCCTTCTCATACGGGCAGGAGAAGTCGTCCATTTCACAGTATTTCCCGTACACCACCCCAAGCCTGCTCTGCTCACACACACATTTTCCGCACTCGCACACTCCCCGGCCGCTGCAGTTCACATTTGACCCGTCTGCTTTGCAACTTCTATTTGGCTCTGAGCTCGAGTCTTTCATGTGTCCGTGATCCGGCCTCTGCTCCTGACTGACACCGTGGTGGCTTCCCCTGCAGGGTGACTGGTCGTTGCCACCGCAACGGCCTGTTGGTCCACATTTGCACTGACATTTAGAGCGGATGCTGATGACAGTGGACTCATTGTAGCCCACCGGATGCACCAACATTCTCACATCTTCATCTTCACCATCATCAGGACAGGAGCGTTGGCCAACGGTAATATTAAAGTAGACCTGCAAGGAAAGAGTAACATCCATCAGTTTACTATTTGCTGGCTCGACACCTTCTGAATGAAATTTAAGCGTCTGATTGCTCACTAATGGAATTGAGTTATGTATGTTATTCAATGTTCTAAAAGGCAGAAGCAATATAAAGTGCGGGAGTACTTTAAGAGAGGCATCATAAACGAAGGTCTGAGCGCCCTGTGAGCTTACTTACACACCGCAGAGCAGGAGAAGAAGATTGATCTGGGGGCTGCCGATGACTCAGAGGATACATGAAAAATGACTAAGGGTTTCTAAAGGTTGAAAGCTCACACAAATCAAATCTACAGACAAGAATGAGAAGAATAGCATGTGCAATAAATGAACTAAATTGCGAATGCTGCTTCTGCACCTAATTTTAGCATGTCTGAAAAGCAGGTGCAAACTGGCACACAGCTTGCACCTTGCTCACTGTGGCAAGAGAGAGGCATAAATGCAACAACGGGGGGCTTTACTTGTCAGTTATTTGGAACATTAAAAGAAGAGTCAATTAAAATAATAAAATATAGATTAAAATATCCTCTAGGAAAGCAGAAATTGCAGAATTGTGGGAATACCAATTAATTTCACTTTTATGGCAGCGCACTGTTTTATGTCCTGATGCTCTGAAGGAGCAGAAAAGCTGATGAAGATTATGTTTTATAAGCTGCACGTTACACAAATAGTGTGGGCAAAATATGTCTGCATGGGGCAGATTAATGGTGCTGGACCTTCTTTAGGCAACACATCAGCGCTAATGCATCCACCGCTGTGCAGTCCACACTAGACACAACACAAGTGATAAAACACTATGACACGTTGTGCTGTGACATGATGTGACTCAATATTCTGTAGGTGTAATACAACACAATTCTGGGCAACATAACAAAATACAATACATAGCAATGCATTTTGGGACTTCTAACTCTAATATCCTTGTGGATAAAGTTGTGTTGTTGAATGATTTACCGGATAAACATCTTAGCACTCCGATTGTGAACACGCTTGAATGCTGCCTGCTGATGCATATTTGAAGCAATTCAGTTTCACTGTAGGCCTGGAATAATTATGTAACGAAAGGGAAATTCTCAAACTCTTTTTTTTTTTTTTTTTGTTTTTTTACAGCACAGAATCGGGCATAATGCTCGGTTAACAAAGTAAGCTACAATAAAAGCTGATTCAGGACAGCACAAAACCTTCCCTTGTTGATTTCGGCTGAAGATAATCCCTGAATACAGGATGTTTAGCACAGTGTACAAACAACGCTTCACTGACTGGAAGTCTTTAATAAAAACCCAACTACAGTAACAGTAAAACTCACAATAATTATACTGCTGTTGACTATACATAAAGATTTGAATCTACAGTCAATCTCTCTTGATTTTTATCACCCTTCTGGTAAATTGCGGTACTTTCCATAATACAGCGTAATCCACCCAAGGATGAAAACGCTGGGCATTAATTTGTGCACAAAGGAGTAATTATGAGGCAGTGAGTAAGCACCTCAGTGTTGGGCGGAGAACACCAAATCTTTTGGTGGGAACAAATCTTAGGGAGCAAGTAGAAGAACAGAAGATTTCTCAGAGGATATACAAATTATTATTATTTTTTTTCTGACAGTACCATTCAAAACTACTACAGCAAAAAGCTCTGTTAAGAGTACAGAAAGGAGCTTTCTGAGCAGGTGTTGGACCCGGTGGTATGCAAGGAGTCTGTTTCTAAATATAAATGCTCTACCTGCCGGCATTAATCCTCTCATATCGAGCATGGTATAAGGGTTATCATAAGAAAAGGTCATGGAATCACATGGGAATGTTTCCCTGTTAAATAGAGGTTATAATCCGCTCAACTCGGATTATTTACCAAATCTCTTCTGTCGCGTAAAGCTCTCAGTGATATGTTTGTATGTGCTGCTCTGGATGCCTCCTTTTAGATATTTTTCCTTCAAGTATGTGATAATGGCTCATTTGTTTTTGTGTGTTTACCGTCTGGCCTGGCTGCACCCCTGAGCAGCTCTGGTCCTTGGCAGTGGATCCGCGGGGACAAATAGGAGAAACAGACACCCAGTACCTGCTGACTGCCTTGTCCTCCACTGACACTGACACCGCCACCTCGGACAACAGTTTCTGCGGAGAGCAAAAAAACAGATGAACCGGCAGCATTAGGTTAAGGTCCGAAGGTCGATCATCCAAGTTAATTTGATGATTTAAATCAAGGTTAAGCTGTGAAAGCTTCCTTATTTCTTTTTTTTCCCCTTCAACAAAGGCTACTGAGGACGAGGAGGTGGGGCTAAAAATAGCATCTTTGTGTCTGTCCGGGATTAGGACACATGGTTTCCGTAGGGATCTGATAGCTTTTATAATGGAAGCTTCTGTTCAGGCATCGCTGCTTGTGTGCATGTGTGTGCGTGTGTGTGTGCGTGTGCGTGTGTGCCTGAATGCATCACACAAAACCCAGATCTGTGGATTCGGCAGATTCTCGGAGCAAACAATGGCCTGCTTTGCCGCTGGCGAGCTTATAGCCCAGAGGCTACTGTCATTTGAACCTCCTAGTCTCACATACACAGACTCACACACACACACACATGCGCACACAAGGTCACGCGCACAAGGTCACACATGTTTTAACCTCTTCTTCTTATGTCTTTTTATTTTTTTATTTTATTTTCTGTTTCATCTACCGAGACAAAACCACAAACTTCTCCCTTTGTCAAATTTCCCACGTTCTGAAATATGAGTCGATGAAAACAAAACAGACATCACAAAAGCATTTCTAATGTGAAGCTCTTACGCTTGTCTATGGCACTCGCACCTTCCTTTGATGAATGAAAGAAGACGGGGATTTTTAAAGAGAAACCACAGGCGGATGATTTTACCTTGTACGCATCTACCACCAGATCTATGAGGTTCGGCGCCTGAAAGAGGCCCAACTTTCCCAGGATTGATCCAGGCAGCAGCTTCACCAACTCCTAAAGAAGGAAACATAGCTGGAAGTAATTTCTTATCCGAATCTTATAGTCCGAATCAGAAAAGGTGCTTCATTATGCATACATGCAATTTTTTTCTTAAGTTTCTGTGTCAAAACAAAAACAAGTAAATGGTGTAGTCTCATTAATTACCTCATACCACTGGTACTGCATCTTCTCCACAGCGAAGATGGAGTAGATATGGTTTTCAAGCAGCTTCTCAGACAGCAGACCTAAACTGGGATGGTCCTGTGAAGGAGATGTTTGCAGGAAGGAGTTTACCCACGATCCTGGTGAAGCGATGAGTAACCGCAGATTTACAGATTTATTTTTAAAAAATGACGTTCCCACCATCTTTGTGCTTCCAGTGTAAACGTTGCTGTCCAGGTGACACCGGCCGTCGTGCGGCGTTACGATCCCAGCCAGCCTGCTGTCCAGGGCGAGGTGAGACGGCTGGTCTGTCATCAGGAGCAAGAGGCGCTTTGCCTCTGGCCGCCAACCAACAGCACGCTGCCAAAGAACAAGAAACAGAGGTCATATTTAGTCACATCGCCAGAATTAAAGAACTCTTTGGAGGAAATCTCTGCATTGGACGTGAGATAACTTCATATACATGACTGAATCTGGGCAAAGACACACTGCACCCCAACTTTTTTATTTATTTATTTATTTTTTTGGAAACGTGATTGCTTTATGACAAATATCACCACATCAGCTCTGTTTCTGGAAAGCTGTTTCAGAAATTCCCCCCATTGTTAAAAACTCTTAAATCACTCCTTATCGATACAGTCACAGAAACTGATGTGGAAAACTCTGCGGGCTTCTTATTTTAAGGATTTACAAGTGCGGTTGAGGGAAAAAAATGCATATTGAGGCAGTTTATTCATCTGAACTGCATTAGTTTCCTCGATGATAGGGCCTCGCTGCAATGCCAAATTTAAGCAAAAGCAGCAGAAATCCCCCCCCCCTTTATCAGTCAGAGTGGCTCCTTCTTCATGTCTGTGAATCATCAGAGACAGTGTGAGAAAATGGGACCATGTGTGCACGTTTGTGTATTTGGCGAAACTCACTGAGTTTATAGTATGCATGATGTAATGGAGAGTCTATTTCTGAACGTGACCACCGCCGGGGTGACTGAAATCTTGCCTCCTGCTCCCCCACTCCATTCACACGATGTGACTCAAAGCCCCCCTGCAGTCGTTTTGTGAGCCTCGGTGACTGTGTGCAGTGGTGTCGCTACTTAAACGGGATTCCTGCAGCAACACGCAGCGCTGAGTCAGAATGCCTCCAATTGTTCCAGCACAAATGCCACTCTCAGGGTCAGACGGCTGGCTCGGCGCGTTACTCACCTGGCAGACAGCGGCCTGCAGCATGGCGTCCAGTCCTCCCTCGGGCGTGTCCACGTTCGCGGAGATGCGCTGGCGCTTCATCACTCGCGTGAACTCGCTGATGTTGCCGGTCATGCTGAGGACGTGGTGGAAACCGTGGGCCGGGCGACAGCGGATCTGGTATTCACTGGTGAAAAAAAAACAACAACAAAAAAAAAACTCAATGAGATAAGCTTTTATTTACAACTTTTAGGAATGTAGCGTCCATCAATAAAATTGAATCAGGTAATTAAAACAGGGACGTTGGATCTAACGTGTCCAATGTTTGGAGGTGTCTTTTCGAGTAAAGTGCCTTGACGTGACATTTTTAATTTGACATTTACTTGAGAACATAATAAAATATTTGATTTATTTGAACTCAATCGAAGAATTGAGTTCATTAGGAGATTTTGGTCTCTTTCACAAACTCTTTATGCTTTTCCCACTGAACAAATGTACTCAAATTAAGGTGTGCGTTTTCAAAATATTCCAGAGAGAGATTATGCTACTGCAACAAAAAAAAAAAATAATAATAATTAGCAATATTTTGAGCACCTCAAGATTTGGAGGGAATTTTAATAACTGAATTCCTTGCACATGACTCTCCTTGTATCATGAAAATATGGATGCTATGTGGGATAATGAGGTACATTTTGAAGTCAGACATTTCTAGATAAGACAAATGACACATTCTCCTCTGTACCTGCAGGGGTTGTCGATCTTGGAGGGATGGACACTAATGAAAGGAGAGACAGGTTTGTCCACAAATGAGCCAAAACCTAGCCAAAGGTCTGAGGTGTGTTGCGTCATCCGTAGGGACAGTGCGACGCCCACCGTCTTGAGCTGCAGAACAGAAAAGACAAAGGAAACGAGCGTAAGCGAAAAAGGAAGGAGATATTGAATCAAAAAGAACAACAGAGACAAATGAAGTAGATAAAGAGGAAGGAAAAGCCTGAACAAGAAATAGAACAATAATTTGTATTTCCCTAGTTCCTCTTTCTTTCTTTTTTTTTTTTAGGGAATTTGTGTAAACTCAGTTCTGAAATCAAAATTTTTGGTGATGAATCACTTTTTCCCCCCACACAAGAGCAGCGATAAAATGACTGACAGTCCACAAGCCTACATGATCAAGGTTTTCCTGCATGGAGGCCGACACATCCACCAGGTAGTAGAGATCTACAGGATAGCGCTCCAGTTGTTTCACGGCTACGACAAAACTGGCCTCTGAACCTGGACACACACACACACACACACACAGAGACGCGCAACAAGAAACAGTGAGAAAACCGTGAAGTCACTTCGGTTTAAATGAGACACAAAATGCCGAGTTCCACAGCTCGTGTACCTGGCCGGAGGGTGATGCTGATTTCCCGTGGGGACACTTGTGTGCTATTCAGCGTGGCGTCGACCTCCACTTTGACGTCCGACCGCTCCATGAACTCAGGCCTGCAACCTCTCCTGCGAAGGTTGTCCGGCAGATCGCAGCGATGGCTCTGCTCAGTCCCGTGCAGGTAGTCCTAGGGGCCAAATGTGTGCAAAAATTTTTAAAAAAGTCTCTGTCTTTATCCATTATGACTATTCAATGTGTAAATATTACATTTGTTGAGGGAGAACAAGCTAAGACAAAAAGCAAAGAATGCTTGGGTATCTCCTTCAATGATTTGCTGCGGAAATTTATGCTTGGGTTTCCCTCGTGGATCTAACATAATCCATGACAATGGATTCATACAAAGATGGAAGAAGTAACAGAACCACATCCGGTATTAGTGGGGCGAATCTGACTAAGCAGGAGTAAAAGCTGTCATAGTGAGGTGGAAAAGTTTTCATTTTCTTTGTCAGTCTTTCCTCAGTTTCACTCCTCGTCCATTCACAGCAGCAGTGTCACTTGAACACACCGTTAACAGGATGTGGTTTCACTTTACCTCTGGTGTTCGCAAGGTGCGTTGGTGATGGCAAACTGAAACCACTTTTACTACCATTTACCTTAGTTTCATTTTCTATTTTGAGCCGTTTTATTCTGTTTGTATTGATCTGAGACAGAGGGGACCAGACATGAAAACCACAGAACACGTATTATTTAAGCCCTTCAATTGCTCCTCTTGAAGTACTGCCAGCTAATATGTAATCTCTCCTGTCTCCAGAAAGATAAAACAATTATTTAAGCTTTTGAAAACAATAAAAAATAAGGTGAGAGAACACCTAAACTTGCCAGCTGTCTTGACTGCACAGCCCAACAGCGTCACGACTCGTAGCTTTGGAACGGATTACTAACATTTCGTACTTTGGCTTGTTGACTGAGACATGGAAATGCAGTACAGTGGCAGCACAGTTGTAAAACCTCACTGATGTATGTGTGTGTGTGTGTGTGTTCACAGTGAGTTATTAACCTCCCATGGGTCTGATTTCAAGCGTGTGACGAGACCAACACGATTGTGCAGGCGTGTAGTGGAGCAGCTTAATTACTGGGGGGGGGATTTCTACTAATGCAAGACAGAAGAATCCACCGAAGCAAAGCGTCTGACAGTCTACAGCGAGAGTTGAAACTCTTTCTAACTTCGTGACCATGAGCTGAACCTGAAAGCCAGACTGACTTCTGTTTATTTTTAGTTATCACTGACCAGCTCTTTAACGCCTAGAAGTTCCTGACGGACTTCCTGGGACTTTCCTTTCTGGGATAGGGCTGCAACTGCCTACATAAACAGAAATTTGGATTTACATAAAAGCCGCTAACGCTTTGTTTTCAGTGCTTGCCTGAGCGTGGCTGTGTGAGCTTGTAGGAGGTTTTGGAGGTGATGTTTGAAGTTCCCTCGGCCCAACAACATGAATTCAGAGGAAATTTGGCATGGGAGCGCCCGAACACACACTTGTTGACATTATACTCCTGCTGTGATGTCACTGCATGTGTGTGCGTGCGTGTGTGTGTGTGTGTACGTGTGGCTGCGTGTACGTGTGTGTGCGGTAACTGGTGTGGCACTGGGAGGCTTTGGAATTTCTCAAAGCTGATCCAGGGGTGGGCTCTTTACAAGAAAGACAAGACAGGGAGACAGAAAAAGACAGATAGAGACAAACAGAGGGGGAGATGCGGCGATATGCGTGAGCACGGAGACTAAACACATGGATAGAGTGTGGCTCCGTCTCTGAGAAAATGTTCACACAGAGGCTGACGCGCTCGCACAGGTCACACAACGCAGACCGCTTTGGGGCTCAAACATACACATTATATTCTCATTTGTGAATGCCACGAAAGCTTTGGTGCGTGTCATCTGAAGGAATGCTGCTGAAAGGCCGCCACGTTCCCACTGTTTGCTTTATTTCTTTTTTTGTCTGTTACGGACAAGAGCACACACACACACACACACACACACACACACACACACACACACACACACACACACACACACACACACACACACACACTTGTGCACACATTCCCACCTCCTGGAAACACCAAGCACATTGTGGTCCACGTTGCAGGCAATCTGCGCAAGAGGTGACGCTGGGCGACCAACACGCTCTGGCTCCTGCGGATAGACGGAAACAAAAAGGAGCAGGGAAGAATCTGCGATTAGCATATGAAGGAAACGTGTGAGTCAATACTCATTAGTCATGCGGCGAAATCCGTGCAGACGTTAAGGATCTCATATCCACTCGTGACGAGGGAAGAACCACTCGGCATCTCGCGTCGAACCATTCAGCACAAATTAGCAAGTGCACAGCCGTGTGGGAACAGGTGCCGGAGCTGTTGGAGTGGTTCCCACACACTCACACAGAGTAACTTTAGGCAGTGTTTTCAAGAAAACGAGAAAGAAAGGAAAGAGAAAGAAAGGAGGCATGTTGGAATAGAGAGCGATGAAAGGCACACCATTAACCCCATCGTTCCTGTAGTGGGGTTAATGATTTATTAGAGTAATTTACCGGCTGAAATCCAATTTCCCGGAGCCATTTCTGTTAGTTGCAGAGCCGTAATGTGGGGCAGAGAAAGAATGTGGGTCCGAGCATCGCTAGCAGACCCATTAACAGGCTCTGACCCAATTAGGCACTTTGACCGCAATTAAACCCCCTTCAATGATTTAACTATTCATCCAAAATGATGGATGGCTAAGGGAAGCAGATCAGGCTTTTCCTGGCCGATACATTTCTTTAATGTTTAATTTGGAAGTCGCTTTTCTTTTTTATTTTAACAACTGTAACGACCAAAATTTCTGGCGGACCTTTTTGTTTGCGCACCTCTAGCTGATGTGATTGTTGCAGCTGACGTTGTATTCCGTTTGTCTTTTACTGTGTCTGTTGTCTCCACTCAACACCCAGTCACTCAGTCAGGGCAGAAGCTTAGCTGCTGATTCCGAGTCTGACTCTGCAGGACGTTTCTTCCCTTTAAAAGGAGCTTCTTCCTTTCCACTGTCACCACGTGCTTGCTCAGCATAAAGGTGTCCAGTGGAGACTCGGTTGGGTTTTTACTTAAATTCAACTTGAGCTTAGTTTTGTATTCCTTCTTTACACATTTTAAGGGTTCTCTGTTTAATTCTGATATTTTTTTCTATTTCATATTTTTGCTGTATTTCAGTATTAAGTTTTATTTAAACTTATTTAAAATAAGTTTTATTATTTAAGCAACTGAATCTGATTGTACTGGACAATATTTAAGATCACATAGCATTGAATGTAACTGGAAGTTAACTTGACTCTGAGATTGCACTATCTATATTGGTAAGAGCTTAACTTAGGCTGAATTGGATCCCATAAAGCAACATAGAAATGAGAAATTGTGTAAAGTACCTTGTATCTGTTGACCTACAAAACTGAATGGAATTTAATTAAAATGTGTTTAATTCACATCTTTAAGAGAGGAAAAACACTCCAATAATAATAATTAAAAAAAAAGTTGTATCACTCCCCTACAGAGATGACAGACTGCGTCCAGAACGGATGCTGTGCAGTGATCGTTTGAGATGACAGCAGTAATTGCTGTGATATTATGTCATTGGGTCTTAATGAGCCTCGACTCACCGCCGCTGGAAGCTGCTGCGCAGACAACGAACGCCACGCAGCAGAGCAGGAGGACACGCAGAGGACGGCTGCGTTGCCAGGAAGTCATCCTTCACACTCCGGGACGCCCGAGACGCGAGAGCCTGAACCGCTACTGGAGGTGGAGGTGGGGGCGGACCGGGTGACACTGAGCTCCGTGCGTCCGCCGCCGCGCCAACAATAGCCGGGACTGCCAGAGCGAGCCGCGGGACATTGTCTTTCACACACACCAACCTTCTAAATCCCGGAAAGGTATTCCCAAACCCCGACTCAGACGAGCTTACGAGCGCCCTCCCCCCTCGGACCACGGGAGAAAGGTGGATTGCGGCGACAGCTGCGGCTCGGGTCCCTCCATCTATTTTCCAGGTGTGCTGTGCGCTTCTGTCTCTCGGCTGCCCGGTGGAAGTCTCAGCCCGCAGCGGGAGTGCAGGAGAGGGGAACCGGGGGACAAGAACAGCGAAGAAGCCGCTTCGTTCAGCTCAGCCGGCGCACTCCGACGTTGCTGACTGAACACATCACGCACTAAAATCCAGGAGAACGAGCGCGTTTTAACCACTGCACTGACTACCGATGTCATGGCAACGCGTTTATTCCGAGAGGGGAGGGAGCAGAGAGAGAGAGAGAGAGAGAGAGAGAGAGAGAGAGAGAGAGAGGCGATAAAGTGCTTTCTACGAGGAATTGCGAAGCGGTGCATTCCAGAGTGAACCGTGGCCTTGGACTGAACGGTGTTGTTTATGCTGCTTCTTAGGGGAGCCATTTAGCAGCACTGAGAGCTCCTGTGTTGGAGGGAGAGCCTAAAGCCTGGTGGGTGGATGAATGATGGAGGATGTAGCCAGAGCTCTGGCAGCGGGGTTCACAACCTGGAGTTCCAGGCAGAAGTGGTGGGGGTCTGTGTCTATTGTGCGGGGATACCAATGACTCTGAGTAACCTCTCCTCTGGAGCTCAGCTCCAGCCAAATACTCACTGAAACAACACAGCATTTGGAGGCAGAGCAAAACAGACGAGAGGACAATAGCTTGTCCGCCTCGTGATATTATCGTGCTCCACTCTTTTCTAAGTATGCCCTACAAAACAGGCACAGCCAGCCCTAGACATAAGCGAGCTAATCATTACCTTAGCCACCCTGTCCCAAAACCAGTTGGGGTCTTCCGAGAGCACAAGGAATGACTCAGGAGTCAGATTTACAAATGCACATTTTCCCAGAAGTGGTACAATAAGTGACTGTGCATTTATATTTAAAATGCTATACATGCAGGCAGGATGTGAAGACATTTTTATTTATTTTTTTTCTGAGTAAAACATTTGAGAGGCGTCTGGTTCCAGACCACAATCTCCACTGGAAACATACATTCACCACCAAGGGAAATTTATCCTGTTGTTGTATTTTCTTGTTTTCCCTGCAATTCTTGTTATTGTCTGAGAGTCACAACTCACCAGTTGTCTAAATAACTGGGGAAAAAAAGCACAAACCTTTAAATACCACAGAATTTGTTCATAACTTATGCAGTCTGGAAGAGTTGGGCTTTGTTTTAGACGTGGAAAGCCGTAGTGACAAATTGAAGCAACGATTTTTCAAAACTGAGGTCTTAACAAATGGCAAAGACGAGGAAAAGTTGTTCACATGTTTTGAAGTAAAACACTGTACGAATTAAAGCTGGGAAAATAAACAGGACCCAGCCCACTGACGTCAGATTCGAAGATGGAAAATGGATATTTCTCACCAACCCCAACCTCCAAATTCAACATGGCTGACAGCTGCAGTGGCGAACCCTGAATTTGCACTTATGTCAGTTTGTATCTCGTTCACGTGGCTGACAACCTGTCCAGGAAGTGCTGGAAATAGAAACGAGACCATCCCAATAATACAAGCACAAGTGTGTATATACAATTGGCCTAAGTGTATAGATGCATTCACTATCGGCTTGTAAAATGCTATTAGCTTGTATTGTAAATATTATGTCCATTGAGTACAAATAAAGGCAAAAGCTAAAACATAAGTACTGTAAGTTGTGTCTGAAGGTGTTCACACATCAAATTTTTGATTTCATTCTATATTGGCAAATTATTGAAATATTCTATCAACTTTGAATAGTGTCTCTTTGAAGCAAGTATCAAGTGGGCTTGATCTCCTCCTGTGTTTTTTTTATTTTTTTATTTTTTTGGCTATTTGGGATCATTTCTCTTGGGTAGAGCTACTTCATTTGCTTCACATTTACCCCTCAGCCTTTATCTACCGCGTTTGACCCCATCTGCCCCTCAGGAGTCTGGAGCAGAGCCTAATACGCCTCTCCTCTCAATTATTCATTTGTCAAATGAGGATTACTTGGACGGGGGGAGAGCTGAGCACCTCCCAGTCCACGGTCCAAGCCAGTCACTCTCAATTATGATAATGAAGAAAACACACAGCACACTGTTTTCCCAAGTGTGTGAAAGATCCCTGTGAAATCTGCAGACCGTCTTTATCCGGATTCCAGACCAAGTTTTGTCCTCTTCTGGATGTCGGAGGGGAGTGGAGGGAGGGAGAGGGGGCTCTGGAGGGCAAAATATGGATGCTTTCTCTGCTGTGCAAACTTGATAATGGACTCTCGCATAAACAGATCCCTTTCCTCTGTCAATGCTGGTCAGTATCAGCATCCTAATGACAGCCGATGTAAACCTGACACAAAACACTCCTCCACTGTAGTCACTCCTCTCCCCCTCGTCCTCACCTCTTTTCACTCTGCCCTCCACCCCTGTGTTTGTGTTAGCTGTTGGCTCGACTTTCCATCACGCTGGTCTGGTTTCATCGCTTTCCAACCACACATGCAAATACACACCCATACAAAAACATACATATGCACCACAGTAGTTCTTACCCACTTTTCAACCAAACACCTGCCCGGTTTTTCTGCTCGCCCTCCCCCCAAACCTCTCCTCTCAAAGCTCCCTCCCTCTCGGTGGTTTTCAAGAGTCTCGACCTCTCTTTGGACTCCCATTCTTTGGCTAAACCGATGTGGGGACAAAGCGGGGGTCAGAGGTGAAACATGACCTTAACGGGGATTCCCAAACACAGATGCAATCTAACAACTGCAAGCACACACAGTGACTTTAGCTTTTCGCAGTTGTTTTATGCGAATATAATTTTAAAGAAGGGCATTTTCTCTGTGATTCAGTTACAGACGCAGAAATCTTGGTTCCCCTGCTGTGGCAAATGTCAATATGCGTTATAAAGTAGTTTGAAATCCCCTTTGAAAATCAAAATATCATCTCCCTCCCACTCGTTACCACAAAGCCTATTTTATTTCAGTCTAGGTTTGTGTCACCTGAGGGGGAGAACCTCAAATGGCGTTCTTCTGCATATCAGAGATTTCCATCGGTGGAAACCGAACACAGAACTGAGATCTTAAACAACGTAACAATCAGCCCCATTAGCTCATCTGAGCCTTTTTTTTTTTTTTTACTGAGTCCACCACCAGTTAACATGAGTCTTTATTACTTAAACTTGATCTTGGATACTTAACTCATTTCAACATATCCAACAGGATTCAACCCTTTTTTCTACTTTGAATCAAAGCCAATATGATGTGCTTTTAATATCTATAAAGATAACTGCAATTTAAGGTTGTTTGTTATCCAGTCAAAGCAGATAGTTTAGGATGAAGAAGTGCGCTTTACGTCATTAATTTGTGTCATTTATCAACAATTTGTCATTTCTATCATTGTGGAGATTGGAGAATTGGAGAATTTGGAGAATGGTTGAATTTGCCATTTCATTTCTTTTGTCGACTAACATCAAGAAAAACACGTCTCCCCATTTTATGTATTTAAATACATAATATACATGCTCACAAAAATATATGTTCCATAGCTATGTATGTAGGTAGATGCCAACCATATCAAATGCTAAAAATGGATCATAGCTGCAACTTTGATTTTTAGTTTCATCCGGCAAAGTTTCCAGTAGAAATTCAGACTTTGTGTGCCTTCCTACCAAGTTTCATATAGGAGACTTAGAAAATCGGATTGAGCTGATAAATGATTTCCAGCACCCAAGCCAAAAAGTGCCTATTCATTAATCACATAATGAATCTGGTATGCACTTATAGTTCAATTCAATTTCACTTCAGTTTACTTACTTATAGCCAATTCACAACAAATATCGTCTCAAGGCACTTCGTACAAACAATCTTTTCAATTCTAACGGATATCAAGCGTTATAGTAAGAGCAGTTAATTATTCAGAGTAGTTTCGATAGTTTCTGTCGAAGTAAGTTCTTAATTTCAAAACAAAAATGTGCTTATAAGCTGCAAATTTTTAAGTTTCATGATTTATTTACAATAGTAAAAGATTTGATTGGGGAAGTTAATAAAATGCAATTTGAGGTGCCCGTATTTTTCTAAATGAAAGCAACTAATGTTGCCACCATTTGGCAATTTGCTGTAGTCATAACATTGCTCAGTTGTCCTTGTGCGTGGCTTGTTGCCCTGCAGTACATGCTGCTTTCCTCAGTTGCTTTGTTTCTGTTTTGGTTTTAGGAATATTTTTAGTCCACTCTTCACTCGTCATGTGGTGCCTTCGTCATATGCATGTCTGTTTTGGGATCATGCAGATGCATCAATTTCCATATTGGATTTATAATATCTGCTGACCCTTGCTTTTGGATGCTGCATCTGCAAAACAAACATGATTCAAACAAATGTTCTCACTGAAACGTGATGCATTATAAACAATATCTCAGAGAGTGTACACACGATACCCTTTACATTAATTGACATGTCTAGTAAAGATGCACTTAAACTGAGCTAATCTTATATTTAAAACAAGATTTCAAAGGTGTCTTTGTTGCACTGAGAAGTAGAATCCACCTGAAAATGTCCCACCAAGTGCATCGAAGTTTCCGATAAACGTCAGTTCAAAAACTATTAATACAAGCTGATGCTCTGATAAAGATAAAGAGCAAAAAATAAAAAAAATAAAAAAAATCCCGCTGTAAACTCAGCGGCATCGTTTGCATGAGAATTTCTTCTTGCTTGAACTACTGAAAACAGTTACAACCACAGTGACTTGTGACTGCTTTGCCCATTTAGTGGCAATGTGTAAAACCACTTCATGTCCTGTTTGATTTTTCGCTTTTGTCAATAGTTTATGGCATGTCGATTTTTTTGACAACGTGAGATTTCAGTAACAAGAATTCGAACATACGACGAGCCGCCAGGGAATTAACCTACTGTATTTGTCATCTGAAGTCTGGCTAAAAATAACTCTGAAACACAACTGACTCAGATTCTCTTCCTCATTTTCTAATGTTATTAACAAAGCACTGTGAATATGAATCGCCCTAACAGAGATTTGATTTGAAGCTAAATTTTGTAATTCCACTTACAAGTTGCATGACAATTTCACGATTAAAAAAAAAACAATTTTTTTTTTTTTTTTTTTTTATAAAGTCAGGAATGCTTGTCGTTTCAACATCAAAAATTTCCTCTGAGGTCTGATTCCTGGACACAACCAAGGAAACCCCGCGGTTCAGACAATGACAACGTTGCAGTCAGGATGACCATCAGTGGCAGTGTGGTGGAAAGAAATATGCACAGCAGTTTAAACTCACCTACCCTTATCCCAACCACCAGCATGACTGCCATAACATAACTTGCCCTCTAAGACCACAGTGAGCCATGTTTTTTTTTTTTTTTTTTTATCTCTTTCCTTCATAAAATGCAGCTTCAGTCATCAGTAGTGCAGAATCTCCAGACTGAAAGCTTTGAGGATTTTTATTGTTAGGTGTCACATGCATTTTATTTTTACATTGACTGGACATTAGAAATATCATATAGCCTCATCATAAGTCTATAGCCAGACACACCTTTAAAGACTTTGTTGCTAAGCCACTTTTCGTTAAATTACATATTAGCCACCTTATACACTACTCAAAAAAATAAAGGGAACACTCAAATAACACATCCTAGATCTGAATGAATGAAATATTCTCATTGAATACTTTGTTCTGTACAAAGCTGAATGTGCTGACAACAAAATCACAGAAAAATCATCAATGGAAATCAAATTTATTAACCAATGGAGGCCTGGATTTGGAGCCACACACAAAATTAAAGTGAAATGTTCCCTTTATTTTTTTGAGCAGTATATATAACACTAAATCAGATAAGTATGATAGAGATTAGAAGCGTTACAGGAGTGTTGTCATGTACAATTTGGTCTGCGAGGTGACACTGTTGTCTTCATTATTCTCACAGAGCATGAGTGCATCTTTTTCCTGGTGCTATGACTTCCTCACCATCTGCATATATATCAAATATAGCTTTAATGAGAAATTTGACTTTGCTATTTGACGGCTTGAAATTGGCCTCTGGCTCTTTAAGTAGCTCTTACTGTTTCAGCGCGTCATCACAACATCGCCTTTCCGTGATGTCGTTTTCTTAGGACTGGGAAGCAGTTTATGTGATGAGCTCAGCAGATGTGCAGTTCCTCCAGGTGTTTGCTAATCGCTGCTGCCGCTAGTCTGGAGGAGCTGCATGAGGAGGGGTGTTCTGTGAAGAGGAAGCTCGGCTTAGAGACTGCAGCTTGAAGGAGGAGTTGCATGTCTAAGCACCTCCCACGGGAGACCAAAGGATTTCTCAAAAATGCATGAAAGAGTCAAAGCAACAGTCCAGGTATGTTTTTGATGAAGGAATAACATTATAGCATCACTCAAAAAAGACAGTCTTAACCCTCCTGTTATGTTGCGGGTCAAATTGTTCGGTTTTAAAGTAAATAAATAAATAAATAAATAAATAAATAGTTGCGCGTATTTTTTTTTGCATGAAACGTTTTCTATTTGTCTTAATAGGTGCATATAAATTGAAAATGGTTCATTTTACACATTTGCGACCCCCTCTGTGTCTACATTTTACATAGATACTGTTCGGGTCAATTTGACCCGGCAGTCAAGTTGAAAGGTAAAACAGATTTAAAAAAAAAAAAGTCCAATTCTAAATGTTTCCTTG